ATTCACTTATGTAAACTAATAATAATTATTAGATGCTTATTCATTTGGAATTTGGAATCAGACGTCATTATTCTTTTAGATTTCATTTGGATGGATGATGAGATTAAAAATAGTATTAAAAGTTGTTATAGTTGTTATTAAAAAGAAAAATTGTTGTAGCTACAATTAAAAAAAATTAATGTGAAATTTATGTTAAATGAATTTTACTAGAGTTGACATTTGGATTCAATTAATAATGTAATAAGCTTAATCGCACTGCATTAAAAGTGTTGTAAAATCTAAACCTAATCTTATAAAATTGAATATTAGTGAAACAAAAAAATCATGGATCATAAATAGAAGTAGGGCAAATATACGATATCTTAGAAGCTAATTGAAATTTTCAACTAATTTTTTTTAGATATTTTTATTGATAATGTTAAACAAATATCAAGAGTTTTTTTGTTATACATAAATTTGCAAATAAAGTTTCAAAAAAAGAAAAGAGAGAGAGAGAGAGAAGATTTTCAATTTGATGCTTCTATTAGAGAATTAATAAGTGTATCTAACAATTAGATTGTCTTAATTACCCTTAGTTGCTATGGCTTTGTCAAGGGCAAAGTGCTTGATAAATGGAATTAAATACTAGGTTTAACGAAAGAAATTATAGCATTTTTCTGTTGATTTCCTAGGCAAGTCGGGAAAATGTACAAAATCAATTGGCAAAAGGATAAGTTGCCTAAATTAGGATCATGCACACTTTGACAGGTCGTTAGAGTAATAAAACTACCAATTTAGGTCACTAAAGGTGGGCAATCTATTTCTTTAATTAGATTTTAAAACATGGAGGGTAATAAAGAAAAATACACTGTATTTTTTTCTTAGTAAAGATTTGTCAACTATAAAATCAGATTAAAATGCTTGAAAGTCGAATAGAAAGAAAAAAAAAAATACGGCCTTGATAATTATTAATGATATTAAAGAATTGACTTAGCAAAAGGAAAAAATACAGCGACAAAGAATGCGAATCAACAGTTTGAAAAAAGAAATTCGTGTGCACACCTTTGTATATATTCCCCTTATAACTAGATGTATTATGTATTGTCAAAGAGAATATATCCCTTCCTTAATTTAATGTAATTCCCAGGACTGGCTTGGCAATGGCCAATCTTCTGCGTCATGCGTGAGATCACTGTTAAGAGAACATGATTTGGTGGTCCATGGTTACTAAACAAATACATGCTTTTGCTCTTAGTCATGAGGCGCTTGAACAAAAGCAGAGAAAAGACATACTCATGGCCATCTTAAACTCACTTTCACTTTTAAAACTTTAGTTTACTTTAAAATTAGATCAATTTATTTTCTCATGTTTCCGCTCTCATCATTTCATGAGTTCCATTCATATAAGCCTAGCTACAGCTTGCCAAAAAAAATCAACTGTGCTTTCCTTTTGAGCCATTTTTTTGTTTTTAAATTTAATACTATTATTTATTTAAAATTATTTTACTTCAGCTTTTACAATAACATAATTATGCATCAAACGCAAGCCCTAAAAAATCGAGAAGCATATAAAAATATGAAAAGTCTCAACAAACTTAATTCAAATCCATTTTCTTAGGTTCATCTTTCCAAACATAGCAAGAATATTATTATATATTGATTAGAAAAATTATTAATTAAATATAAAATGTTATGGCTCCCAGAATTTACTATTTGAAGATTTGGACTTAAGAAGGAGCTAGGGATTCTCTATCAAAAGTAGGGGGTTACAAGGAAATTTAATATAGAAAGGAAAAAAAAATTTGACCCAAGAGTCTTTTATGGTTTTTGAGGACCTCAAAGAAAGTTAAACATTCTATAATTCTCATCTTTTTAGGGGCCAACCCTTCCCACTTTCGTTTAAGAATCTTCTTTTCATCTGCTGTAGTGGGCATCTTATTAGCTAAGCATATTTGAATCTGCAGCTTTGTTACAGTAGTAAGAATTAGAGAGTACTAAATACTTATGCTAAAATGTTAATTTACATCAAAGGAATAGAAATTGTCTTCTTTCATATTCAACTCTTATATACAGTATGACATATATGACCAAATTTGCCTGCTTTTGGAATATGTCTTTTCTGATGTTTGTATTATTTTGGTACCGCACTGCTACACAAAAAAATCCTTAGTTAATTACTGAATGCTTGAGCTCTAATATTTGTTTATTGCAGGGTACCTTGTTTTATGGCAAAGCTCTATTAATTTCACGAAGATTAGATTCTGGAAAAGAAATACGGTTAATTAACTGTTTGATCTGCTGCGCATGAATGAAAGCTAATCGGGAAAATCAGATAAAGGAGTCAACCACTCAACTGCATATAATTTAATTATTTTCTGGTACACTTTTTTTTTTTTTCTTAAGGAAAGAACGATCATCACTGCAACTAAATGAAATGGATACCCACCAAAATCCTACTTGATTGCATGTTTTACCCGGTAGGAATGATAATATATAGGAAAAGATGATGTCATTGATTATTTTGAACCTCTAAACTAGTTTCAACTCAGAAGCCTCACATATATATATATATATACACATCCCTACTCTCTCTAACTCCTTCCTAAGAAAAAAAAATGATTGGAGAGAAAATTACCTTTATTAAGGATATACAGGAGCAAAACCAAGAGCAGAGTGAGAGTGAGCATAAGTCAAGTTCAATGGATTTGGTCGATTAAAATCGATTAAATTTGGTCAAGGTTATGAAAAGTTCTACAACTTTTGCCAAAAATATATATTACAATGATTAAAAATAACTACAAAGATTATCAAATTACAAATGTTATAAAAAACACTATTATTGTTATCAAATTTCTTACATAAGTTACTAAAAACACTACAAAAGTTACCAAAAATATTATAAAAGCTTCCAAAATCTGACAAAAGTTATAAAAAAAAACCCACAAAAGTTACCAAAATTTTTATAGAAAGTACAAAAACACTATAAAAATTATCTAAATTCTTATAAAACTTACCAAAAATACTACAACGGTTACGAAAATTATTATAAAAGTTATCAAAATATTACAAAAGTTAGCAAAATTATTCCCAATATATAATGCTGAAAATCTTGGGCCCTTACATGTGTAGTCAAAATGAGCCCTCCTTGATTTGGATTCACTGGTCCTCTTTTTGTTTCCAAAGATGGGCATAAATTGGGTTTCAACTTAAATGGAAATATATGAAGATCCCATGCTAACTATGTTGGGCTATATTACTTTATCATCCTTTCACCTAGTTCTTCGGTGGACTATAAAAAAATAAAAAAATAATATGTAAATTGTTCCCTAAATTATATCATATTTTATAATTTAACATTTGTAAAAAGAAATTTATATTTTGATTTTTCTTTCATCAAATACTTTGTGTCATTGATTAATGATGTGAAGTAAAATAATGATGTAATAAACGTTAATCAATAAAAATACGTCATATTTCATGTTTTTTATTTGTAGATTTCATATCATATGAACATATTATTAATAATATTAAAGTTTAAGACAAATGATATAATATAATAAAATTTTGATATCAAATCATAAATTTTTTTTAATAATATCAAATCGTAAAAAGTATAATATAATACAAAAATAAAATTACATATTAACCCATTAAAAAAAATTATGGTACGTTGACTGTTGACCCTTTTCTTTCGGCCAAAAATGGGTAGTGGAAGAAGAAGAAGCATGACTCCAACCTCATTTACGTTTGTTAAACTTTTTAATGGCGTTGCCACCGCGGACCATTAATTATAAGTACGGCCCATTGTTTTGAGATTATGGCTACAAATCATGGGATTGGCCGATCGATATGAAACGATGGGCCATCCGCTATTGTAGCGCAGCAGCACTGAGAAAATACAAAAGACAAGTCAAATTTTCCTTGTCATACAACACGATCACAGCCGTACACTTAAGGGGCCCCATGGCTTTTGCATGTTGATAAACTCTGTTCGATAAATGATAATTCCAAACATTTTTGGATGGTGGTTTTTATGGGGGAAAAAAAAAATTAAACGGTGTCTTTGGGAACACATTTTGACTCTTAGGTGGGTCTCTCAGACTCGAGACAGTTCTTCCCTTGGGGATCAAACAACAGAGTGGGGGCTCCTTTATTTCTTTCCATGGATTTCATTTCATTTCATTCCATTTCATTCCAAATAAAACACATGCCCTAATATATTTTTGCATTTTATTTAATACCAATCCACAAAGTTATGTTCTTTCCTTTTCCCTGTACGGTTTTGGTTTCAATGATCTCTCCCCAAAGGACCACGAGTCTAATTCACCTACCAAGAATTAAACTCTAGAAACTCAAAATCTCACTACCTATTGTCGAATTTTATGCCATTTTTTTATAACTATAATAAAGAAAAATCCGATAAACTTAACGCATGACAAAGTTTATATGAAATTATATAATTAAAGTTTATGAAGTTTTTTTATTAAAAATAAATAAATAAAAAATTTAAATTAATATATTGATAAAGTTTAATATGAATATTAATAAAATATAAAAATATTATTTATAATTCAAATTTAATTGATATTTATTTAATAACAAAAATTTTGTTAATATATTTTTATTAAAAATATTTATATACTAAATATATCAAAATGCATTAAAATTTGTTTAAAATTTATACATTTGATCTATATTATAAAATTTTTTAATTTATTAATTTTAATTCGAGATATAGCAAGTGATTTATTTTATTTATATATAAAATTTGTATTTCCCCTTAATAACCCCTCTTTTTTACTATTGAAAAAAAGCCTAATTAACTTTATTAATTTGTTCAATCCGTTTATATTTTTCCTTCTGTTGTCACTGTTTCTCACTGCAAAACTTTTCCTGAGAGCAAAACAAAATTGTGTTTTTATTTGAAAAAGAACCCAAAAACACTGCCCTAAAATTTCGAAAATAGGAGTGTCAAAAAACAACATAAAGGGAACATAAACTTGTCCTTTTTGGTCATTTGACCCATGCATCGAATCGAAACCCATCTACGAACGCGTGTGGTTTCAACTCTCATAGATCAAACCGAACACAAGCGTTAATCCTCTCTCTCTCGCTCTCCTTTTTTTTTTCTTCACAGCAAAACTAAAGAGAATTTCTTTGCTTTCTTTGTCGTATTGTTATTCTCTCTCTTTCTCTTTCTCCTAAGCCCTCAAGAATTCAACTTTTTCGTATTCATGAAAGCTAAGCTCTATCTTACAAGGTAACAAAAATCTTCTTTACTATGTCTTGTTTCTTCTTTTCTTTTCTTTTCATTTTTTTTTTTTGTTTTTGTACTTTTTTTTTGCTCTGCTTTTATTTATGGCTACAAGAAAAGAGTGAAGAGAGGAAAAAAAAAAGAGTTGACGATCGACGTTTACAGATGTATAACAATGAAAACCCATTTGTCCAGGTTGGTTTTGGCACGTGGGTTTTAACGTTCAAGTTCTTCTATGAAGGTTAGCCATATGTTTTTATGAAAAAAAAATTGTTCTTTTACATTTTTATAGACATTTCTTATCAACCGTTTATTAGTTAATATGTTTTTTCTTACTTTTTTCTGTAGTTGTTTTGTATGTTTAATCAAAATCTAATGGAGTTGCATGTTAATTTTCACTGAATAATGCACAAGTTTTCTTGATTGATTTCATTATTCTGTATACTATATGTTTGAATGAGATCGTTTAGTATTCTGTATTGACAGCTATGTGTTTTTGGGATCGTTTAGATTGGTTTTATGTTGTTTTTTATCTGTTCAATCGGCATGTGAACATGTACCTTGGCATTTGAATATCAGTATCCACCTGCTTTTGGTTCTTGCTGTTGGTAATTTAGATTATTAAAAATATAAATGTTGTTATCTGTTTTAATTGTAGTCATAAGCTTCATGCTTAAATTGAGGGCCCTTATTTTTTCCCTCGAGAATTATGTTTGAAATTATATTCACCACGCTTGGTTTAATTCTTGCTTAGCTATTGGTTGTTTTTGCATTCGATTATTATGATCTTTTTCTGATGAACCTAGCCTGCACAAGTTTTTTTCCCTTTTTTTTTTCCCTTTTGATGAATGTTTGTCTTGTTTCATTGCATTCATAAAGTTTTTCAACACTGTTATGAATTCTCGAGGGTCCTACCTAAATCCCAAGCATATGTAAAAATGTTAGGATTTTTTCCCGCATTGATTGCTGGAAATTACTGATGTTCATACATAAAAGGATTCCTCTGTTTTTTCAAGTTCCGTCTTTATCTTGAATTAAAATAAATAATTTGGAGAAATTATATTTGGCATATATTGACTTTAGCAGTTCCATGCAGGTCTAAGAGTAGAAAATTGATGCTGCAAGTACTTCTATCTAGAAATATTGAAATTCCCATGCATAATGATAGTTTTTCCATCCATATAAGGAGCTTGCTATGTTTGCATTCAGGACCTGATGAAGTAAATTAGGGCTCCAGGGCTGGTTTTATGCAGTCTTATGTCCATTTAATTTTTTTTTTTTTTTTTTGCTCAATTCTTGGGCAGATGGACACTACTCTTTTGGATAATGGCATGGAGGGCATTGAAGATGAATCTGCTGAACAATTACTGCTTCATGTTCCTTTTTTGGATGAAAATTTTTGGAGATCATATGCTGATTCCTCGTGTTGGAGATCAATACCAAGCAGAAATTCCAACCTCTAGTTGGAGAATGTCGTAGCTTTACATGGTTGTAATGGAACCAATTGACTCAAAAGTCATAATTAATGTGCCAAACCTTTTTCCAATGGGATTGCCTATCCCTCTTTTCTGGACAAGACTGGAAGGAAAGTTATAAATGGCTGCATTTGAATTTGAAAACAGTGAAGAGAAGCCCATACGTCAAAGCCCTGGATGTGCAGAATATAAAGTTTGGCAAGTCTATATTCTGTGTTGGGTGCATTGGGAAAAGACACTAGAGGGTATGCAAAGCTTCAGCTACAACCGGAACTAAGGCTGGATGTTGATTTACTCTTTCCACAGGAGCCAATTCTAGCTGAATCTGGTGGATAGATGTCCTTGTCCTCTTCCAGGATTTTCGAGTGAAGTATGGAAGGATATTGAACTTGACAGTTTTCTTCTTGGGCTATACATCTTCGGAAAAAATCTTATCCTTGTGAAAAATTTTGTTGAGAGTAAAGAGATGGGAGAGATATTGTCTTTCTATTATGGAAAATTTTACAGGTCTGACGGATATCGCAGATGGTCAGAATGCCGAAAGTTAAGAAGCAGACGTTGCATTCATGGAGAAAAGCTGTTCAGAGGATGGAGGCAACAGGAATTATTATCACGATTATTTTCTCATCTTTCAAAAGAATGTCAAGATATGTTGCTTGAGGTATCTTTCTGACCTTTTTTTAATGCACAACACCCACTCATTTGATCTTTCTAAATAATTAGACATATTTATTTTGTTAATTAGTCCTTTTATATCACTGAGTGCTGTCAAGTTACACATACTCCCTTCCTAATCATTTTATATCTCTCCTACTCCCTTGAAACTTGATCTAGGAACACTACATTATTATGTTGATGGAGACGTTATTTTTTGTTAGTTAGCATGGTTTGTTAACTTCTGAAATGTGCACATAATTTCTGATTTTTATTTTCAAGTGTTATTTATGCAAATGTGCATCATCCACACTGCATAGACACATACATTGTTGACTGTGTAACTTTTCAGGCCACTTTGGAGAGCAACATACTTTGAGCATGGGAATTAGTGATGATTTTGTGGTGTGTAATATCGTAAACCAAAAATAACACAGATGCTATATAGGGTTTGAGACGGGGAAATTGAAGCAAATTAGCAAAGAATGTAGGTTTAACTGGGGCCATGCTTGAGTATTCTGTTGGTTCATCGAAACAAAGCAGTGTTTCTCTTTGAAGATCTGTCTTTTAAAAGGGGCAACTAACTATAGGGCCGTCTTTAGAGGCTAAAATGGAGGAGCGAGATTTTTTTTGATAATGGAAGAGCATGATTTTGGTTGTTGACTAACACATTCAGAAATATTTATGTATTAATGGAATGATAAAATATGGGAAAACACATATTTATAGTTGGTTATAATATTTTAATTTGTATATTTATATTTGTGTCTCTAGAATTAAAGTATTTGTATCCTTAAAATTAGGGATAGAAAATTATGATAGACAATCTCTCAATTATAGGATCAATTTTAGAAAGATTTAGTTTTCTAGTTTACTCACTAGTTAGTTTTATATAAATCTAAAGCACTTGTATAATTCTTTGATGAACAGTTTTTCAACATACATTTAGTTTTACTTTTAGTTTTTCACATAGTTTTATTTCTTAGCTTTTCCATATGGTATCAGAGCCAGGTTACCAATCAAACGTGAGCTAAGTGCAACACCGTGGGAGCCACCTTTAGAATCCTACGAGTTAAGTGCTACATTGTGAGAGCTACCTCTAGAATCCCAACATCTAGTGTGATTCGATGGATCTATGTGTTTTGTGTTGGGTTTGACAAAGACATCAAGTTTTAACAGGGGGAGTTTGTGATGCCTAATCCAACATCAGGATAATCTGAATTTCTACTATGATATATGTGGATAGATCTAAACCTAAACTTGTCACACGACTTTTGTAAGACAAAACCGTAAGATCTTTGTGTCAAAGTAGATAGTATCTCGCAGGTTGGGTGTAGATTTTCACAAATGGTATCGGAGCTTTAAGCTCTTCTTGGGAAGAAAATTTTTACTAGCAAGATTCGTTTTAGCCTTGAGAAAGATAACTATGCCAGAGATAGCAAAATCTGCCACTACTACCTGATTTGAAGAAGTAACAACTAGTAAAACCATCGGAATGCTATAGAAATCTTGAGAACAAAGAGGGTTGGACAAAGAAGAGATTGAGAAACTAAAAAGCCTATTGAAAACTCTTTAAAAGCATACCGGTTATGTTCTTTGGGTAAGGTCTCTAATTCAAGTAAAGCTTCTGGTTCTCATGGATTAAATGTTTCTATTAAGCCTATTATAAATTCTTGGGTCATCAATTGAGGAGCCATAAATCATATGACACATTCTTCACAGAAGTTTAGTACATGTACCTTGTATTCAAGTAATAAAAAAATTGTTGTTGCAGATGGTTCACTTACTACAATGGCAGGATTAGGATATATTCAAATTAATCTCTCGTCTGTTCTTAAATATGTTTTTCATATTCCTGGATTTTCTACTAGTGTGATATTTATACAAAAACTTACTAGAGATATGAACTGCAAAGTGATTTTTTATCCCTCTTATTGTGAATTTCAGGACCAGAGTTCAGGAAAGAGGATTGGGCTTGCTAAGGAGAATGATAGACTATATTATCTTGAGAGATCAAACAATACAAGTAATATCAAGAATATTACCTTTGTCATTTCTTTCTTAAAAATCTCCCAATAAAGACAAAATTTGACTTTATCATTTTCGTCTTGGATATCTTTTTTGGAACTTTAAAAAACATGTTTCCTTTTTTGTTCAAAGGATTAAATGCCAAAAATTTTCATTGTGATGTTTGTGAACTTGCAAAGCATAGACGTATGTCTTTTTCAGTTAGCAATAAAAGAAGTTTTACTTTTTTTTACTTAATTCATATTGACATATGGGGTCCCTTTATAATTCCTAATATTTTTGATGCAAGGTGATTTGTTTCTTTCATAAATGATTGTACTAGGGTCTTAGATATTTTTACTTAAATCTAAATTAGATGTGAATAGTGTGTTTTTAAACTTCCAAAACATGATTCAAAATCAATTCGAAGTGAAAATTAAGAGATTTAGGTTTTATAATGCAAGAGATTATTTCAACCAAAACTTATCTACCTATTTCCAAAATGAAGGGATTATTGATCGGTTATCTTGTTTTAATACTCCACAGTAGAATGAGTGGCAGAAAGGAAAAATAAGCATTTACTAACCACAACCTGATACTTTTTCAAGTAAACGTACCCAAATCTTATTAGGGGAAGCTGTTCTCACTGTCACATACATTATAAATAGGTTACCTTCAAGATTTTTGAGATTTAAAATTCCTATAGATCTACTCACAATTTTATCTAAACTTTAATACCACAAACAACTTCACACATAGAATATTTGATTGTACATAATTTGTTCATGTTCACAGTCATAATAGGGGAAGTTGGATCTTAGAGCAATTAAATGCATTTTGTGGGGTATTCATCAACTTAGAAGGGGTATAAGTGCTATGTCTGCAGATATCACTTTTTAAGAAAATAAATCATTTTTTACTCAACCTTATCTTTTGAGGGAGGCTTCATGCATGAAAGATAAAGATAAAGACTTCTTTTTGCTTAACTTCTCCTCCTCTTCAACATTTTCAGCTATTAATTCTTCTAAGTTTAAACTTGTCTCTTTTAAGTTCAAGTTAAATACTAAATTTGAGTTTGAACCCATTCCTAACACAGAAGATGTGACAAGGGATAATATTATTTTTGATTCTACGAAGGAATTACAAGTGTACTCAAGAAGGAAAGTTTCGAATCTTGAACCAATGCAAGTCCAAGAATCTGATCCTAACTCTGAAAATGAGGTAAGTACAGTCTTTGACTCTGTTTTTCAAAATGAGCATGAATCTTTTAAAACTATAATTAGTGATTATGATCTGCTTGTTGCCATTAGGAAAGGAACTAAAAAATGTACTAAACATCCACTATACCCAATCTCTAATTTTTTGTCATTTGAAAAATTCTCACTATCCCACAAAATTTTTCTTATGAGCTTAAGCACTATTTTTATTTCAACTACATTGTCCGAAATATTATCTAGTGAGAAATGGAGGCAAACCATAAAAATAGAAATAGAGGTCTTAGAGAAAAATAAGACATGAAAACCAATAGAGTTACCTATAGGAAAAAAATCAAGTTGGGTGTAAATAAGTTTTCACTGTAAAATATAAAGCAAATGGTACTGTGGAAAGGTATAAGACTAGGTTGGTGGCTAAGGGTTACACTCAAACTTATGAAGTGGATTATTAAAAAACTTTTGCTCCAGTTGCCAAGATGAATACAGTTAGGATTTTGTTATTATTGGCTGCAAATTATAATTAGCAGCTTCAACAATTTGATGTAAAGAATGCTTTTTTACATGGTGATTTGAAATAAGAAATATATATGAAGGTTCCATTGGGATTTAGAAGTCATCTTGAAACAAATAAAGTATGTAAGCTGAAAAAGGTTTTATATGGCCTCAAACAATCTCCTAGGGCCTAGTTCGAGATATTTGCCAAAGTGATGCTAGCAATGGGATATAAGCAGAGTTAAGGGGATCACACATTGTTTATCAAGCACTCAAATTCAGGGAAAGTCACAGTTCTATTAATATATGTTAATGATATAATTATAACCAAAGATGATGAAAAATAGAGAGAATCTATAAACAATATTTGGCCAAAGAATTTGAGATAAAAGAGCTAGGGCGATTGAAGTATTTCCTAGGAATTTAAATAGCTCACTCATGACATGGTATTTTTATCTTACAACAGAAATATGTGATGAATCTTTTGAAGGAAACTGTGAAGCTTGTATGTAAACTTGCAAGTAACCCTATAGAAACTAATGAAGATGCTACTGTAGATAGAAAGATGTACCAAAGATTAGTTGAAAGACTCATTTATCTCTTATATATTAGACTTGACATAGCATATGCTGTGAGTGTGATAAGTTAATTTATTTATAATCCTAAAGAAGTGCACCTACAAGTTGTTTATCGTGTACTACACTATTTGAAGGCTAATCCTAGGAGAGGTATCTTATTCGAAAGAAATTCGAGACTGGTGGCATATACAGATATGGATTATGCAGGTTTAGCAATTGATAGAAGATTCACCTCAAGCTATTACACTTTCCTAGGTGATAATCTTGTAAATTGAAAAAGTAAAAAACAAAATGTGGTGGTAAGATCAAGTGTTGAAGCAGAGTTTAAAGTAATGGCTTAAGGAATTTGTGAACTACTATGGTTAAAAATTATCCTAGAAGACTTGAAAATCAAGTGGGATGGACCAATTAGACTCTACTATGATAACAAGTCTGCAATAAGTATTGCACACAATTTTGTGCTACATGACAGAACCAAATACATTGAAGTAAACATCATTTTATAAAGGAGAAACTAGATAGTGGGTTGATTTGTACACCGTATGTATCAATCAAGAGTCAACTTGCAATTTGGTTGACTAATGGTCTCAGTAGTGCAACATTTTAAAAAATTATTTACAAGCTGGGAATGAAAAATACCTATTCACCAACTTGAGGGGGTGTGGGAAAACATTTAGGCTTCGTTTGTTTCACAGAAAATTACTTTCAAAAAATTATTTGCATATTTTCAGATGTTTGTTTGACAGAAAATTAGCTGGTCAACAAAAAATAACTTATTGATCAATGAAAAATAAAGTCATTTTTTTGAAAATTATCTTATTGATTTAAAAAGAGGAAGACATTTTCTGGAAAAGAACTATCTATGAGTAGAACTACTTGTCAATACTTCTGAGCATAATTTTATTTATAAATAATATTATATTAATAAATAAATAATATTATATTATAATATATTAATAAATAATATTATATGAATAAATAATATACTATTAATATAATATATTAATAAATATTATTAATAAATAATATATTAATATATTAATAAATAATATAAAGAATAATAAATAGTTTTATTTTAAGTATTTTTTATATTAACAGAATATTTTAATATTAAATATTATTATTAAAATATAATTATTTTTTAAGATTAATCATTTTAATAATAAATAATTTCAATATATTTTAATAATAAAGAATTTTTAATATTTTAATAGTCATATTAATATTATTTTAAAAAATAGAGTTTCCAAAAAACAACCAAACAACTGAAAATATTTTTTATTAACTCATCCAAATAATAAAAAATATCTTTCAATTCAAAAAATATAAACATTTTCTAGAAATCATTTTTTGAAAGTCAGTGAAACAAACGAAACCTTATTTACAGCTAATTGTAATTTTGTAATCTGTATATTTATATTTTTATCTTTAGAATTAAAGCATTTATATCCCTAGAATTAATGATAGAAAATTAGGATAGACAATCTCTCAATTATAAGATCAGTTTTAGGAAGATTTAATTTTTTAGTTTACCTACTAGTTAGTTGTATATAAACCTAAGGTGCTTGTATAATTCTTTGATGAACAGTTTTTTAATATACATTTAATTTTACTCTTAATTTTTCACGAAGTTTTATTTCTTAAGTTTTTCTGCATAAAGTAAATGTAAATTAGTTGTTAGTTTTTTTGGATTTATAAAGGCATATTTTGCCTTTAACATTGTTGTTTTTCCTTAAGGAAAATAAACTTCTTCCTTTTACTAAGAGCTTTGTTATGCCAATTGAATTGCCGTGTGGCTCATTAGTCTCCTAAAGTTTTCTTTAGAATAAGGAGCTGGTAATTTAAGCTCGTCCATTACTTTTGTTGCTATCTTGGTCTTCTCGGTTCATTTAGGCATGCACGTAAGAATTTTATTATGTGATCTAGGTTGATCAATAAAAATGGTCGTTGGTGTTTCATTGTCAGTCTCTAACGAGCATTGTGACCTTTGGCTTCTGCTTGGACTGCTTTCAACATTTTTGAAGCATGGTAGATAGAGTGTCTGGCTTTCTGTATGGGTATATTGAGCTTAATCTCTTCTTCTGGGGGTTATGCACTATTCGCCGTAAATCACTTGGCTCAGTTTTGGAAATATAGGAGAATATATGGTCATAAAGGATTAGAATAATGCATGGAAACTTCTGTTGTTCTTAGGAAATGCATCTCTAAAATTCACATGAATATCCCGAGTTTTTTGCAGTGTATCTATAGGTCTTCGTCTGATTTTTTGAATGGACAAGAGTAAGGAGAATGCTTAATATGCTTTTTCCACTTAGGCATTTTCAACCCCTTTTATTTGGTCTATTTTTCAACTACATATAAAATGGTTTGAAAATGCGGTTGCATTTCAACTACAAATAAAAGATTTCTTTCTTCAACCCCTGTCTAAAATCTTAGACATTTTGCAGTGTATCTCTAAGAATATTGCAGTTATTCTTAGCTACCTTTTAAGAACATCTATTGATTTCGATTGAACTCCTGGTTTTTACGTACTGTTGAAAATTTCAGTTTACTGCTGAACTATTGCACCTAATTTTTCAGCCATATTGGGTCTATATTTTTCAGAGACAAAAATATTTCATCATGGTGTTTTTATGAATTCTGATTATTGCAGGTTTCTAAAACATTTGGTGAGGGAAAAGTTTCCTTTGAGGAATACGTATTCACCATAAAGAATACAGTTGGCATTGGTATGCTCATAGAAGCTATAGGTATTGGCAAAGGAAAGCAAGACCTAACTAGCAATGCCATGGAACCAGTAAAAGCCAATCATGTAGTTTCTTTTCGTCCTGAAATACCAGTTGGAAAAGCATGTTCTACTCTTGCATCTGCAGATATTATCAAGTTTTTAACAGGAGATTTTAGGTTGAGCAAAGCTAGATCCAGTGATCTTTTCTGGGAAGCTGTTTGGCCTCGCCTTTTAGCCAGAGGCTGGCACTCTGAACAGCCAAAGGATCAGGTTTTTTCTGGTTCAAAGAATTCTCTGGTGTTTCTTGTTCCTGGTGTTAAGAAGTTTTCAAGAAGGAAGCTGGTGAAAGGTAACCACTATTTTGATTCTGTTAGTGACGTTCTTAATAAAGTTGCTTCAGAACCAGGGCTTCTTGAGCTTGAAATTGAAGTGCCAGGCAGCAGAGAGAACAAAGAAAATAAGTGGGACCCAGTAACAAAACAAGATCCTGATTTTATGACAAATAAACGTAACCGATACCTCAAGCCACAAAATTCTGGTTGCAGTCGAGATTTAATGAAGTTTACAGTTGTAGATACTAGTTTGGTCCGAGGGGCTCAACGATCCAAGGTTAGAGAACTGAGAAGCTTACCACTTGAAGCTACGAGCTTATCCACCCCCTCTGGTATTTCCAGCGATTCTGAGGAGGATACATCTGATGACTCAGAAGATGATGCAGAAGAAAATAGTACTTCAAATGCTGCAGAGTCCATGGCTAATGGGGAAGAATATGTGGACTTATCAGATTGTGTAAATAGTAATTCAAACATCGTCATTCCCCACACCTCTGATACCAGCATTATATCAATGGAAAATCATGAAAGCCATAACACAAGTCTGCTTGATGAGAAGAAGAAAAAGGTTATGAAGTATAATTTCAGCCGAAAGGTGCAGTCTAGTGATTCCAAATATTTGGCTCCTGTTATTAAACAGCAGGGTTTAACTGATTGTGTCAATGGAGAATCAAGCTGTAGTGTTGAAAACTTTTCTGCTGAGAGGATGTTAAATGAAGACAATTCGCACTGTAGGTCTAGCTTGCCTGATGCTTGTGAAGCTATGGTTTTTCCAATGGGATCCCCAAACTTGTCACCAGCCAGTTCTTTGTCTAAAGGCGGTGCTGATGAGGGAAAGGAAGGCATTGTCACTGAAAACTGCCTTCATGGAGAAGAATCTCTGATAAAAACGCAGTTACATGCATTGATAGACTTGAATGTTCGTCAAGTTTCAATGGATTTTGAAACCAATGGACCCTTCATCACAGAGACGGTGCAAAATATTGATAATTCGTGTGCTCATATATCATTCTTTCAGTCCGAAATAATGGTGCAGCCTGAACCATTGAAGCTTCCTGATAAAGGCGCAGAGGTCAATCAGCATCCTGTAATGCACAACCGGAGGCAGAGTACCAGGAACCGACCATTAACAACAAAAGCTTTAGAAGCTCTTGAATGTGGGTTCTTCAGTCCCAGGAGGAAGAGAAAAGTTGCAGAGGCTCCACAGAATAACTCACGAAGAGTTCGTGGCAGGCCTGTTGTTAATGCCCTTTTTAGAAATGGTGCTTGTAAGCCCAACATGGAGGAGAGTTAGATTGGTTTCTGCAGTGGCAAAAAATGGCCAGTCGGTCTCAAATCTGAATCTGATACGTGGAGAAATGAGTGGACTAATTGCTAAGCTGGTCCTGAAAAAACCACGTCTCCCTCCACGGCCTCCAAAGCATTGTGTTTTGGGTGCCTTTCATTCTTTTAGTCAATAATTGGGAGTGCATATGTTTCCTTAATCAAACTAGGAAAACATAACACTCCATTCACCCAACCAGCTGCAGATTCGTGACCAATGTCAGGTGAAAAATTGAAGTATCAAACATGTTCATCTTACATAAGTCAGACGAAACTGATGCAGGGTTATAATCTCAGAAAGAAGAGGAGGGGAACAATTCCTTAAACCGGAGTAACCTTTTTCATTGTGGGAGCAAATGACACAGGTGGTTCTTACTGTCTTCTAGATAACTGACTTGCAAACGGTATTCCTTATAGGGGTTTGACTGCTGAATAATCGTAATGCCAACCTTTGATCTTGGTGAAGCTGACTGTTATTTTCTCAGTTAAATAAGTTCTCTTTCTCTATAAACTTTGTCCTCAAAAAGTGTATAAAGCAAAAGAATTTTACTTCTATATTAGATTTTCAATTTAACAAAGTTGTCCTATTGTTAGTATTATATTTTTTTGACAAGCATATGGTCAAAATTTTAATTAATAATTTTTTATTAAACACGAGGAATGGAAAAGGAAAAAAAAATTGGAGAATCAAGAGTCAAGATTAATAGCACTTATTATTCTGAAAGTGAAACAAAGTTTAACCAAGTATGCAAGTCAAATTGCTCGTAATCTTTGATTGATACTATATTTCAGTTGGATAGGTCGGTCGCATTGCGTGATTTGTTGTTTGCAGTTTCTTTCTTTTAGTTGTCTATGAAATTGCCATTGCAGGATATCTGAGTTTTTTTTTCTGGATACAACTTCAGAGAGAGGTCAGAGTAATTGACAGGGAAAAAACTAAGCACTTGAATTGAAGCCAGTCAAAACACAGAGAAAACAAACGTTCAATCAATACTCAAAATGCCAAAATTTTTTCGCTTGCATGTTACCTACCTGGGAAAAAGGGAAGAAAAGGAAACTTAAACCATATGAAAACAATGGGAACTTTCCTCCTAAACCTGTAGTATTTTTTTTTTTTACCCATTTTCGAGTTATCAAACAGTTGCAGATCATTGATGTTACTGGTGAAAATGAGCCATGTTTTCGAGGTGGGAAACCGCTGCTTGAATTACTAGGCAAACAAGAGTAAGCTCAGCTCTGCCTCAAGAGTCGAGGGTCTCTTTCAATTTTCATTCTCTAACATGAAGAAAACCTTATTCTTCTCACATCCAAATCAGGCCTGATCTTAATTATCCAAAGGGCAAAAAAAAAAAATTTTAATTCTTAATGACATGGTCAATGTCACGGACGGACCATACCTAGGCCCATTTCCACTTCGAGCCCCAGAGCTTGGGACATTTTTGCTGAAAATTTTTCTTACATAGACTAAGGTCTGAGAGACCCCACTTCACAAGGCTGATGGTGATAACTGATGATGATGTTAATCACTATTAATGTTATAATTCAAAACCCAATTCCTATTATTCTAAATAATGATTTTCATCTTTCTCACTTTCTAGATTATCTTCAACAAGTCAAAAAGTTATTGGATTCCCAAAGATTTTTCTTTCTCCCTCCAAATAATCTCCATCAATGCTCCAGTGATTGGCAGGGTTGATATCCTCCACGTTTTTAAAAAAAATTAACACTTGGTTAGAATTAGAAGCAAAACCTGTTTGGGATTTAGCACGATGAAAAAAAAGAAGAACAAGTGATTAGACGTGATGTAATATTTATGTCATAAATTTTTTCGAATATAAAAAAGACTATTGAATAAAAAAAATTACAGACAAATAACTTCCTTTGCTTATTTAATTAACTTTAATTGAAACTATATCTAGAGCTTCTAATAAATTGATTCATGCCTTTATTTTCTCTTTTGTTTTTAGTTTATAAATTTCAAATTGGGACCATTTGAAAGCTACGTTCTTACCGTAGAACCAGTCAAAATGAAACAAATTATTTCAAATCCACCAATTTACAATAATTTTGAAAATTAACCATCAACAGACACAAAATAGACAAGGTTCACACTTGATGCAAGACTAAAATCTTTAAAAAAATCTTTCTCCTTAATTATTTTTTATTCCTTTCTAATTCATCGTAAAAAACACGTCAATTTCAACAAACAATAGAATATTCATGATTGGTTTTTTTTTTAACCTCAATCAAACATCGTTTTCATAAAAATATATATATTTAAAAAAAGGAAAGAATGCAAGGCCATGGCCGTCTTTTCTGTTGTTTATATTCAATGGGGTTACTTAGCTTATGTCAATTAGAAACCTGGTTCGTTCTAAATTATTCAGCATTTGTGACACTGCAGCATCTGAATGGTGTTTAGGGACGTCCTTTATATTCGATCTTTGCCATAAAATAACCAGGAAAATGAATAATGTTGGAACATTTTTGTCTTCACACTGTTGTGTTGATGTTTGCTTCATAAATTCTATCGATCCGCCATCGATGATAACCAAGCAATTCTGTTTGTCTTAACTAGTAGTTCGTGATGGAGAAGTAGCAGATACTTGCAAAATGGTACAGTTTTGAAATATGATTGACCTGAGTTTTGGAACTTAGCCAATGGTTCATATTCTTATTTCTGTCTCTTTGTTGTTTCTCATTCTACAGCCGGGCTTCTTGTTGTTTCTTATTAAACGTGTGAACTAATTTTTGGAAAACTAAATCCTGCTAATTGACATGGATGGTTCAATTTTCTTCTTTCAAGTGGAAAAAACTGAAAGAAAATGCCACTAAAGAAAGTGATCATCTGGTTTTTAACATGAAATTTCTTCAATACGATCAAGAAAGTTCAAGAGTACGATCTGTTTTTTTCTCAAAAATACGATATTTGTGGTGATATTTTGGGGTTTAGTTTTGGTCTTATCCAAAATTTCGATAATGGTCGTTAACTGAACATATTAGGATTGAACAAGTGAACAAGCACTTGTTCTTCCCGGAGTTCAGGATTGTCTTGTCAGTTAGGCAAATGGCTAATACGTTTTTTCTAAAGTATCACTTTTTCTCCCCTTTTGATTGAACTATAGTGTCACCTCCATCATGCTTAAGTCGGAGATAAAAAAAAACACACACACACACAAAACCCATTGGCCATAAATAAGGATAGCTTTAGCATCTCCAGAGAATCAGATAAAATACTTTTGCCCTATAATATTCTTAGACAATTACAAGAAGGATTTAGTTAGAATGATGGAAATTCAAACGCTTATAGAATGTGATATTATACAAAGTTTCATATGTTATCAGATGATATATTGTAAATATAATTTTTAAATTGTGATATGTTTTATATAAAAAAAATCATAGTAAAAGAATAAAGTGTATAATAGAAACAATATTTTTATAAGCACAGCTTTTTCTTGTTCAGAAAATTCAGTAATTAGGATAAAAAGTCACATTGATGTAAAGCAAATCCAGGGGGCATAGTTTTACCGGTTGAAAGAAAAGAAATTCTGGGTAATGCGATTGTTTAAAATTATATACAAGTTTAGATGTCGTTGTTACTCTAAATATTATAATAATGTAACCTAGAAAACAAAGCAGCAGCCATCTTTAATGGGATTAATAACTTATGTATAAGATATTGAAACTCTGGACACTGACTTGTTTGGTTTCCTTGATCGTTTGGATCAAACCAGACAAACAGGATTCGGCACAGTTTCAACTGATAACGGAGACGCATCCTAATGATATAACAAGCTTCTTGCACCTTTTTTTGATTGGTTTAATCATTAATTTGTTAGGCAGCCTTTTATATTATTACAAAATATTTAATATGATATCTATATCAAAAAAATGTTCGATTATAAAGTTAAAAAAAAAAACTAAAATTTAAATAAATAAAAATAAAATAAATGAAATATAAAAAAATTGAAAAAATCCAAAAATAAAGTAAAGTAAATTTTCATATTTGATTGAACATTTTTTTATTATAAATATCATATTAAACATTTTTTGATAAGAAATTTATCCCTTCTTGATTATATATTGTGATATAGACTGCAAAATTGTTTTTGCAAACTAATTTCATGGAGTGGGATAAATGCATAGAAGGAGAGAAATATAAAAATTAAATTAGTTTTAAAGATGATCATTGTTCAGATGTAAATTCCTACTGTTTTATAAAATAGAATTTTCACATTTTCAAAAAGTTTGAACCCAAAATCTGTAAGATGAAGAAATTTGCTCAACACAATAATTGTCCAATCTTTTCAAGTATAATTGAATTTTGAACTTAAATTGATGGACTTAATTTCTTTTCAACAATTGATATCTTTTTTTAGCTAGTTGAATTTATGTCTTATATATCATACCTTAAATTTTTTTATTTAAAATTATTAAAATTTGATTTTTAATTATTAAATTTAAAAATTTAACATTCTATTAACAAATCATGTGATTTTACATCAACAAACTATAACTTAAATTCTAATGTCTGCTTAAATATGTCATGTGAAGCCTACAGCCTTGCTCTAGCCAAACTTTCTTGGTTTTTAATTTACTCCCAAATCATAATGCTATAGATTGATAAGAAATCTAATTAATTTTCTCATCCAAATTAATTGCTCTAAGCTTTAATTTGATTTTGTTTTGGCAACAAAAATTTTATCATTACTGTCATAGTAACATATTAGTATTATTCGAGGAAAGGCATCTTGGAGAACCAATTAAACTAATTTATATATAAAAAATAACAATGGAAAAGAATGGCAATTTATTTAATAATGATCATATTAGGGGGGCAATTTCCTTGTGCTTGTCCTTTTCAAATTTTAACCCTGTACATATATATTTATATAAAGCCAAAGAAGACCAGGTTCCAATGTTAGCAGCTAGAACCCTCTTCTTTCACCAGAAATGAAGGAGAATTCCCTGGTTTTTGTCTTCCTCTAGAGAGAGCAGATTCCTGATTTTATGTTCACCAAAAAACAAGCCTCCACTTTTTGTTAGACCACCAACAACAAGAAAGGAAGAAAGAAACAATAGGATTTGGAGCCAAGGAAAAGGAAACAGACAAGCTTGGATATTATCACTATATCTTTCCTCTCAGTTTCAAATGTCAAATATCTCAGGTGATGACGGAAGCTTCTCTTCAGGAAACGCTGGAGAGGAAGTCCAGCCTCTTGAAGAGAAGCAGCAGAAACAACAGCTGCAAAATAACTTGACTAGCTCTGGTTCAGGACCTTCTGGTGCTTCTAACAGCAATGGTTCTACCACTCAACAGCCACAACAAGCAGTTAAGAAGAAAAGAAATTTACCAGGAACTCCAGGCAAATCCATTTACCCTTGAATCTCAATTATGCTTTCTTCTATGCTAAGTTTATCTAATTCAGGTGACATATATTTGATCTTATAACATCAGGTAAGTTCCGATGAAATATTTAACTGATGTGGTTTTTAGATTTGATCCGTGATTTCAGTTAGATGCATGGCTCTGAGTTTTACATATGCTTCAATAGAAGCATGCATGTCAAGGTAGATTTGATCCAGTTAAGCAGCACAAAAGAACAAGATTTCTAATGGGGGTATCTTCCAAGAAATAAATAGCCTTTAGGAAGAAAAGATTAATTTCTAATTTGTTATATAAAAGGTTCAATTATTGCTATTAGTTTACAATAATTGCCAAGAACTGTTTGCTTGATTGCACTTTTTACTTCTCTTTTTGTTTTCTGACTGTGTTCTATTTGGTTATT